ATACTCTAATAAAAAGACTACTAACATCAGACTGAATGTCAAAGTAAACATCACACGCCACTTACAAGAGATACACTGAAGCACAGGACAATGTTGGTCACTTGCTTTATGATGAACAATAGGGGAAAGGAAGGGTTTTTTAAAAAAAATAAATGATGCTGGGTTAACTGAATATTCACATAAAAAGTAAATCTTGATGCCTATGCTTTATCAGGTATAAAAAATAATGTCCAGGTGCACTGCAGATACAAATGTGAAAGAAAAACGAAGATTCTAGAACAAAAATAACAGAACACAGTAATGACCGTGCAACAGGCAAGTGTTTTAAACAGGACACTGAAGTGCTAACCACGATAGAAAGGACTGATGGACGGTATCGAAATGTGGAACTTCTATTCCTCACAAGGCACCACTGAGAGTGAAAGGCAGATCACAGTCTGGAGAAGAAATCTGCAACATATCTATCCAACAACGGACTCATGTACAAATACAAAGAACTACTGCATTTCAATAGGAACAATACAACCTAAAAGATGTATTTCACAAAAGAGGATGTTCAAATAGCCAACAAACATGAAATGTTTGTTGTGTTCAAGTTCATTAGGCTTCAGGGAAATGCGAAATTAGAAGCATAATTAAATAATACCGTAGACCCAAAAGAATGGCTAAAATTAAAGTGACTGACAAAAACGAACTGCTGGCAGGGATGGAGAGTACTTGCAATTTCCTCACTGTGCTGTGAGGAACGTACTGGGACAACCGATTTGTAAAAATATTTGACACCAGCTCCTCCTGAAGGTGAACTTATACAAACCCAGTTACCCAGGAGGTCCATTATTAGGTACGTGCCCTACAGAAATGCATACACATATCCACCAAATCACATACGAGAATGTTCCTAGTGGCACCATTGGTAAGAGAGCAAAACTGAAAACAACCCGCACTAAAATAAATAAATCGTGGTTATCACCATAAAATTGAACAACATGCAGTAATAAGTATACACAAACCATGATGTGGATGGATCTTACATCATGTTAGCAAAAGTCAGACATGATTACATTTATAAAACGTTCAAAATCAGGAAAAAGTAACTGATAGCGACAGAAATCAGAAGCGTGACCATGGCAGGAGGTGGTAAGCGCATGGAATAAGGTGAGCTTCCATCAGCTTCTTTTCTTGACCCAAGACTAAGTGGATGAGATCTCTTGTGGACGTGGGTACAACTTTTACTTAGGAAAAAAAAAAAAAGAACCTCGCAGATGTATATGCACTGACTTCGGAAGATAGCCATGATACATCAGCAAGTGTAAAGATCACCAAGTACACTACGATTCTATCCTGGTAAAGAAAACCACAAGGTGAATTGCTACATCCAAAATAAATCTATGAAGGATTTAGTAACAATGTTTATCTCATATTTTTTGCTTTGTGAAATTTTGGGGTTTTTAAAAAAGTGAACATTAGTTACACATTTGGGGCCAAAAATAATCAATAGTAAGGAACCCCGCCCCCCGCGCCAGTTTCCCAGCTGAACACTCCACAAGACCAAAGCTGCCCCTAGGGTGGGACAGCGTGGTGGCCCTGCAGGACGTCTGCCTGTGGTCCAGTAGTGAGGTTCGGGTGCTCTGGTCCAGGGGTCTCTGAGGGGCAGGGGGGCGGATCGCGTGGGTGAGCATGTCCCTTGGATTCAAGGAAACGCGCTTTCATAGCCTCACTCAAACTTGTTTTCAAAGGAGCAGATTAAACGCAGTTCCTAGCGGAACAGTCCAGAGCAGAGGGAAAAACCTGACAGGCCACTGCGCAGAAGCCAACTCCATTCCAGAGAAGGGACATGTTTGGAGTCGCACTGTGTTCATGCCTTATTTACTTAGCAAAGGGCACAAAGGCTAATTACCACCTGCCACCTCTCAGGTGTAACACCCAATAAGCTTCCCTGCAAACCTTCAGATGAGTTAAGACAGACTCCAACTTTCTTCTGTTAATTTTATTACCAAACATCCTTCAAGACAATCATGTTTTCCTCAACCAGTTTACCTCATTATAAACTAAATGTTTCTATCATCTGATCTAATTCTTTGGAAAAGGAAAAATGTTGAATCTCTTAAGAAGTATGCTGGAAAATAATGATGGCCTTTAAAATACTTTCCATTATATCTGCCAAGCATATCAACTGTGAATAGAACAATTCAGAAAATGAAGATTTTCCAAGTAAATACTGAAAACATGCCAAAGATATGAAGAGGAGAAGCTACATGTGCTCGTGTACACATGTGCACACAATCTCTAAAAATCCAAGATATACTATTTTCCCTCACGGGAGAAATGAGGAACAGATTTTAACTCATTTTCCTTAAAAAAAAGGGAAAAAATTCCTAATGAATTAAAGAATGTGTTTACTCAAATCTATGGCCAGACCGAAGAAACGAAAAACAAAGGTAAAAGGATTTAGAAATTATACTCAGATTTATAGGCTTACAGAAAATAACAGGGAAATATTAAATAATCACTTAATGTCACAGTAGCAACATATTTATTCTCATTATTTTGTCTCATCCAGGTTAGAACCAGAGAAAATGAGCTTAATTATAATAACAAGGGTTAGATCAATATGAGGAAGAACCACTTTGGGTGACAAAAGGCTAGACAGAGAGCTAAATAAATCCTGCTCGGATGGACCCCTGAGGCACCTTCTCAACAAGAAGCACAGTGGCCCCCGCAGCACACACTCGGCACCAGGCGGGGGCTCCCCGTCATTAATGTCCCGGGTCTGTGAACACAGACCCTCTCTGGGAGGAAATCAGATGTTTAAATTAAGAAGCACGGTAAATGCACCAATAAATAAACACGTGCGATTATGAACTTCTTATAAACTACAGAGAAAAGCACAGGTGCTTACTAAACAAGGTGGATTTCATCTTTCACATTATGCAGTTGCATTTTGCTAGGGATCTTTTCTATATTTATAAGGATGATCCTCATTAGTATTTTACTATGTGAACTACTGAACTGACTGTGTATCTGTTTTAACAGGAACGTATACGTAATTACTCTGTGGAGATACTTTCAAAAGTGTCAAAATATGAATTGAGACACTGACGCTTTTTTAGGGCTCTTCATGCAGTTCCAAACATGTTGTTTACAGAATGAAGGCTGGTAAAATGGATTAGAACATTTGTATGGAGCAGCTTCCAAAATATCAGTTATTTATTTCATTTTATTTAAAGAGATGTTCCTATCTAGTTATATTGTGTAGAAACTCTTCTGGCTAGGGAGACACATATAGATGCACAATCCAAATAGGGTAACTTAACTTCCCTCCCTTTTCTGAGGAAAAGATTCCTCCCCGCTTCGTGGATGAGATAAAATCAAGTGTTCTTCCAGTTACGAGAGGAGCTCGGCCCTGCCTGAGATCAGCCCACAGAATCCACAGCCCTTTTGGACCCTCCTACACTGGTGATGGGAATGTAAATTGGTGCAGCCACTGTGGAAAACAGTATGGAGGGTTCTCAAAAAACTAAAAATAGAACTACCATATGACCCAGTAATTCCACACCTCAGTATATATTAGAAAAAAATAAAAACACTAATTCAAAAAGATACATGCGCCCCAATGTTCACGGCGGCATTATTGACTATAGCCAAGATATGGAAGCAACCTAAGTGTCCATCAACAGATGAATGGATAAAGGAGATGTGTATATACATAATGGAATACTACTCAACCATAAAGAAGAACAGTTTTGCCATTTGCAGCAACATGGATGGACTTGGAAGGCATTATGCTAAGTGAAATAAGTCAGAGAGAGAAAGACAAACCTCGTATGATATCACTTATACGTGGAATCTAAAAAATACAACAAACTAGTGAATATAACAAAAAAGAAGCAGACTCACAGATACAGAGAACAAGCTAGTGGTTACCAGTAGGGGGAGAGGCAATATAGGGATGCGGAGTAAGAGGTACAAACTATTAGATATAAAATAAGCTGCAAATATATATTGTACAACACGGGAAATATAGTCAATATTTTATAATGACTATAAATGGAGTGTAACCTTTAAAAATTGTGAATCACCATACTGTACCCTGGTAACTTATATAATATTGTACAGCAACTATACTTCAATTAAAAAAAAAAAGAAGTCACAGCCCTTTTGTTCAATGACTGTAAAGCACACTCCTTTTCTCTTAAGACAAGTCGAATGGATAATTGTTTTGGAGATGAAGTGCAATGCAACCAAATTGTACTAACTTGAACTTTTAGCCAAATCAGGAGAAAACTCACTAATTTCTTTTCCTCTAGAAGATAAACAGATCTCCTACCATGTTCTGGAAGATACAAACATGTAGAACTACACTGCTGAAGACACAAAACTACAACTTACCAACATTTTTATCTGACCAAATAAAAATGATTGCACCAAATTAACACCCAAGAGGAAATGTATTCCTTAGCTTGCTACAGTATAACCTCAAAATTATACATGACATTCTGTGTATATTGAGCCTTAATTGCAAAGAAACATAATTAAGTGAAAACATGCAATTCTTTCCCCTATACTCTAATAATCCCTTAGCTTTTAACACTTCAAGTTTGCCATAACCTCCTTGCCTGTCTTGCTAATGAAGTACATTCTGCAGTCCCCCCAACTTATAAGAACGCAAGGAGACACTTCTGGTTTCCCTCCACGCCCCGTGCAGATGGCAGAGAGAGATTCCACCACTGAGATGTGTTATTTCTACAGGTTTAGATTTGTCTTGTCATCAGTGAGGACCACAGAGCAGATTATAGATTCTTTCACTTTAAAAGTGAGGAAATGAAGGTCAGAGCAGTGAAGTAGGGTTGGGGTGAGAGGAGAGCACAAGTGTCTGGGCCCCTGGCAGGTTCTTTCCCCCATTCCTTCCTGGAATGATAACACCAACCAAACACACAAACAAGACATTCTTCCCAACAAAAAAGCAGAGTCTGCGTTTTTGCTAGTGTTTTTGTTTTTACCTCTGAAGAGAATATCCAAGTCAATATCTTCTTTTCCTTTGATTTTCAAACACTTTGCCTGCTGTACAAGTCTGGGCAAAGAACAGAAATAAAACCTGGATTCATTATCCTGTGAGGTAGGAATAAATCATGACAGCAGCACCAATTTAAACAGAGACCACAGGGTAAACAAGAGTGAATTAGCAGGTACTTTTGCTGCACAGAGCCTTGTTAGAATTTTTCTTCAATTTAAGATTTAAAAATACACTTTTGTTCAGAAACTGGAAGTTTGAAACCTGAAACTTGAAAGCTCCCAACACCCCGTTCTATTATAGCAAAAAGTTTCTAAAACTCTCTGGAGAATAACCTCTTCAGATTCTGAGGAGGAGATATTAGGGATGGTAGGTGATGGTGTGGTAGGTAGTAAATAATAATTGCTACTGATGATTTCTGTGCTTATTTTAATCAAAAGATTATAGACATTGTGCTCAAACAATAGTACAAAGTAACTTAGTTACACTGTTGAATGTCAGAGAATTAATTAACTTTTAAAATGCTCCAGAATACAGTAAGGACTAATTCTGTAACTCTTTCATCATGGAACTTCATTAAAACTTGAGGCTCATAGTTTGTAATGAATATGGAAGTTTCTGAAATGAAACTTTTCCAGTGTTGCTAATTACCTAGTAACTAATTTTAGGTAGACAGAACTTGAAATGGTTCATTAGTTTATCTGCAGTATTTACGATTTTAATGAAAATTATAATACCTTGCTTGGCAAATATATTTTCTGATCGCGCTTGGATAACTGCTCTCTCATTTTATCTTCACTGACAAGCCATTAAGGTAGGCACGCCAGTACTGTTTCAGTTTTTGTTTTAGATAAGGAAACTGATTCAGTTACTAAAATCTTACATAGAAACCTAAGTGACTGGTACATAATTTGAGGCAATTTTATCTGTATGTTCCAAAAACGTGTATGTCATGATTAAAAACACATTCTATTAATCAGATACTTTTTAACCATGAAGAGTTTTTTTAATCAAAAAAGCAATTAACTGAAAAAGAATTTCTGTTGAAATGCCACCTGTGGACCTTAAAAGAAGGTCCCACACAGCCACAGTGGCACACACCAGCCTCAGGGAGTTAATCTCCTGTGGTGCAAGCAGAGATCAGCCCACCCAAAACCTGAGTCTGTGTCTTAGGCCCCGTGCCCTGGGTGTGAGGCCCAGAGTGAGCAATTAGATTCTAGAAGCCTCAGCTTCCCAGCCTGCAAAACCAAGACAGTACTTGCCTTACAGGGTTTGTTTGGAACAACCAGTGAAACAATATATTATACCATAGTCTACAAACTCTTATGCATCATGGTCATGCATAAAAATATATGGAATATTTTTATTAATTCCATATGTTTAGTTTCATTATATATATAATATATACTATAAAATTATTTATATATCTCATCAGGATTTATCTACATTCTTGTAGGAAAGAACATTAATGGTGGAAGGAGGGCTTAGCCCTAAGCAGCGAGCCTCTGGGGGAGAGAGCTGGTCAACACGGGATGTCAGAGGCACGTGTGCACAGTAAAGTCATTTTGCAAAGAATAAGATGGAAAAGAAAAGAACAATTTCAGCTCTGCTTACATCTTTTTGGCAACTAGCTAGGTATTTCCCCCCAAACTTTACAAACTGTATGAAACTTGAGTTGATTTTCAAACCATCTGAAAGCATCCCTCTGCAAATACAAGCTGATGAAGATGGCAGTTCTATCTTACAAAATTAAAAAAAAAAAAAGAAGCCAGTATGCCTTACATAACTTTGACGAGGATTTTATAAAGCAATTTAAAACTAAATCAAATAAATTTACTGACTGGCTTTTTAAAAAAAATGCAAGGTGCTGCAATCAATCACAGATATATTTAGGAATAGTTCTTGCTTTCAAAATTATTACATCACCAGGGAGATACACCAAGTCAAACCCTGTAAACCAGCGGTCCCCAACCTTTTTGGCACCAGGGACCAGTTTCATGGAAGACAATTTTTCCCAGGACTGCCGCGGGGGGGTGGGGGTCGGGTGGGGGGGGGGGGGGGGGGGGGGGTGGGGGGTGGAGAAGGAGGCAGGGCTGGGGATGGTTCAGGCAGTAATGCGAGTGACGGGCAGTGACTGGGCAGCGGCAGATGCAGCTTCACCGGCTCGCCTGCGGCTCGCCTCCTGCCGTGCGGCCTGGTTCCTAACAGGCCTCAGATGGCTACTGGTCCCTGGCCCGGGGGTTGGGGCCCCCTGCTGTAAACTGTCCAGATTCCGTTACATCTCCTGAGTGAGGCAGATGCCTCCTAAGGACTCCCAGGTTCTTCATTTCATTTAACCTCATTTCATTCTCACAAAAACTCTATAAGGTAGGTGCAGGAGGCTGTGAATCAAGAAATTGAGGCTCAGAAATATTAAACCACTTGCCCATCTTGGGGGCACAGTGAGTCAGTGGTGGAGCCAGAGTGCAAACTCAACGGACTCCAAATCCAGGCTTCCTTCTACCCTACACATCATCTGGCAGGAACAGAGGGTTTCCTGAGTGTCTACAGACGGCCTGGGGCTGGAGATTGTTGACACAGGTAGGGGAGAGAAGGGGGAGGACAGTAGTGTTCCCGGGGGCCGGAGGGAGGGTGCGGCTCTGTGCAAGTTGGTCGGGAGGAGGCTGGGGATGCAGCCGGGTCTGTCCTGAAAGGATGGGGACGTGGGTGACCGATGGGGCCACGAAGGTCTAGGGAATGAGGGTGGGAGGAAAGCAGGAGCGGCACAGACCAAGCATGAGCAAAATGGAAGGGAGAGCATTTGGGGACACGAATAAGCCCGTCAGCTGATGGGGCTGAAGCATCTGCACTGTGCGAGGAAAGGAAGGACCAGAGGTGGGGCTAAAGGAATTGGCTAGAGCGGAGCTGGGGAGGCCTGGCATGCTGCTCTCCAGCACTCGGGCTTTATCTTGATGGCAGTGAAAGAAGCCACCACAGCCCTGGCCTTGGGAGAATCTACTGCACATGGTCAGAAATGTCTGGAGGTGATCAGGCCAGTCATGTGCTGAAGATTAATATTTCTTTGCATGTTAGCTGAAAAGGTAATACCACTAAAATCTCAGCTCTGACCATTTCACCAGTTCTTCTTAAAGCCCAGCCTCCAGCTTCTATGTAGTCATAATAGCTCCAGCATCTGAACAACCTTCAAAACCTTTTGTTAATAGAATCGCTATTGCTGCAGCAAGTGTCAAGCTACCCATCTGTCTGTCTGTCTGTGATTCATTTTAGAGGAGTGCACGTGACTATCAGTGCTTGTGTTGGAGACAAGCCCCTGCCATCCCATTGCTTTTACTATCTTTACTATCCGTTGGTCTTTACTATCTGTTGTTTTTCCAAATGACTGGCCTTTTCCTTAGGATTTTGCTACTTCCTTGAAAATAGGAGCTGCGTGTTCTCTGACCCTCCTTCTATGCTTCCACTACTTTTAATGAGGCAAATCAGTGGCTACTGCTTTGTGCTCAATAAATGCTAGGCCTGAACCAGATGCCTAACACGAAGGAGGTAATAGTAATCTTATATGTGTGTGTTGAAAAACACAGAGAGGTTAAGTAGCTTGCCCAAAGTCACACAGCAAGTAGAAGAGCAAGAATTTGAATTTAACTCAGGTTAGTCTACATGTAAATAAACACCTTCTAGAACATGAGTTGGAAAACTACAGTCCACAAGGCAAATCCTGCCATAGCCTGTTTTCATAAATGAAGTTTTATTAGAACACAGCTATGCTTATCGGTTTACTTACTGTGTACGGCTGCTTTCATGCTACAATGAACAACTGTAGCAGAGATCTTACAGCCGGCAGAGTCTAAAATACTCACTATCTGGCCCTTTACAGAAAAGGTTTGCTGACTCCTGTTCTATAAGGAAAAGGTCCCTTGAGGCCAAAAATATACACACAGTCTGTGATTGTTTCACATGGCTATTTTCCCCCCAAACTGCCCTAACAATTGTATTTAGGTATAACTTATAATGGGACTTGGAAAGAAAATATTGGGCTCCGACTGCTTTTCATTTTTAGACAAACTGTCCAAGTCCAGCCAACATTTCTTCGAGCTTTTCCTACCTGCAGGTGTCACATTCGGCCGAGGTGGTGTCTGTCACCAAGAGACATAATCTATCTGAGGATACAGGTGTGTCCACCGCCTACCTTCACACAGAGCAGACTGAGAGAAGGGCCACAAGGAAGAGATGAAGAAACCACGATGGAGTCACAAAGAGGGGGTTTTCTGCTTTAAAGGTCCGGGAGGTTAGAGAACACCTTCAGGAGGACATAAGCTTGAACCAGGCCTCGAAGCAAGTTTTACTGAGTGAAGTGCAGAGAGGGACCCTGCAAAGGCACAGACACGTGGAGGGTGGGAGTGAGAAGAATCAGTGGTGGGGCTGGAGGGTGATGAGCTGGGGTGCAGGCTGCGGGCAGGTTACGAGTACCGCACACGCTTCCTATGTGCATCCACACCTATGTGCTCTCGTGTGTAAGGACGCGGGTAAATGTGAACTTATTTACAGTAAAGCAAATGGATCGAGGACCTGCAAGACTCCACCAACAGAAAGAAGAATTCATACGATATGTTTAGTTTGTCAATAAAAGGTAATTAAACTTTAAAGAATACTGCAGTACAAAGCATCAATAAACGATAAGCATACTTGTGAAAATGTTTACCGCAGCATTATTTATAAAAGGAAAAATACTGGAAACAACCTAAATACCTGTCAATAGGGGAATGAGTTGAATAAGTTCGTCCACACTACGGAATATGATACAGTTATTAAAAACAGTGCATTGAATCCACCTGTGTCGATACGGCAAATTATTCATGACAGGTTGTCAAATAAATAAGACATATTTTTAAGCTAATATCTTTTATCGTCAGACTTTCTTTGAGCCAACAATTAATGTTTTCAAATGGCTTTCCATAAGGAAGAAGGCAAATTTGTTTTTTCTTTGTGGGTAGACTTAGTTGCTTAGGTCTTTATAACTTTTCCATATAAAAATAAAAGTCCAAGACCAGAGTATTTTTCTTCTG